AAACTCACCGTAGACTTAAACATGTCCTGGAATGTGGACAACCACGAAACTCACTGTAGACTTAAACATGCCCAGGAATGTGGACAACCACGAAACTCACCGTAGACTTAAACATGCCCTGGAATGTGGACACAACTATACTGTTATGTCGTTTGATGTAGGAGTCCCACGCCTGATCAGCTGCATCACACAAAGCATCTTCTTCATCTTCATCATCATCCTCCTCGTCTTCATCTTCCTCCAACTGCTGGGCTCCAACTGACTCTGACAGACCGAGGATTGAACTTGACTCGACCTCGTCCTCTAGTTTGATATCTGTGTCTGTGGATTTTGGACTGTCAGCGATGACATCAGCTCTGATTTTAATGTCTTGTAATGCCGTGCTGCAGGAACCCTCTAAATCTGACACGTTTCTGTTGAGCTTACTGAACGCTTGATGTTGGAAATTTTTTTCGGTGGTTTCAAATTTCATCCGCTTCACACTATCTACATCTGGATCAAAGCACATTGATCCACCATCAGTGTTTTTCTTAGTGGTTTGACCAGTCAGCGAGTCCTGTTCAACAAAACACAGGGCAATCCCAATGGAGGCCTTCTTACACTTATCAGCTTGTATGTTAACGTCCTTCAGACCTTTCGGGCAGTCGTTCTTGTCTATCTCCATTGGAGCCGTGTCCTGAAGTAAATTTACCTCATTTAATCTCAAAGGGCTATCATTGTCTTGTTTGGCAAACTTGTGCGAGTCTGTGTTGAGCGATTCCCCTTCAATCCCCTTGTCTAGGAGGACATTGGTGTTGAGAGTCTTGGACTCTTTAGCATAAAACTGATGTAAGGACGGCAGGGTTTGTTTGAACTCAGTGGAATTATTAAGTAGTGGACGTAACGTGGACATATCATCCAAATTCTGCTGACCTGTGAAACTGAAGTCATTTCTTGAGCTCATCTCTCCTTCGACAAGGGGACATAACTGTTCCAAAGTATGCTGGTGTTGGACTTTCGTACTTCTCTCCCCCGTCCTGCTTGCCACAGCCTCACAGCTTGAGAGGGTTTCAACTGCATCTACACATTTTTTCTCAACCGAATTATTCAATTGTTCTGAAGAATTTGATTGTTGTTCATGAGAGTTGTTGAGGTGTTCGGTACTCTGTGTGGTGGTATATTCAGCTGTAGACACAGTGATCTGGTCCAAAGAGTTATTGAGCTGGTCATTAGGCATGGCGGTCAGTTCGGAAGTGGACACTGCTATATGATCCAGTGAGTTGTTGAGTTGGTCCTGTTCAGACTTGGGAGTATCTGTAGATGGAAGTGACCCTTGCCGCTCCATAAAAATCACATTACTCTTGTTTGTCTCCTCGTGTAGCGTGTCCAGCATTAGGGCCAAGAATTCCTGACAGTCATGCTACAATCAAACAATATTCACAAAATCAATACACAAGGTTGAATATACTTTAGTCTTATATACAAAGTGGTGACCATTACAGCTATATCAGAAGGTTCAGGGTCTACTCCATACCTCAATTATAATCAGGTTCCCAATCATCAAATGTCCGGTTTTTATTTAACAGGAGGATGTATTTTTTTTGCCATGGTTTACTTATATGCTTGTACAAATGCACTTCAAAGACATATAGGTAGATATATATTAGTTCAAGATGATTGACACACAATGTGATTTTTTTTAATGTGTGCTAACTGAAAAGTTACATGGATCTATTAAAATAGTATTGTGAAGAAAATAAAAATAAGAATTTTAAACCTTTCACATCAACTTTAAATAAGCAAAGCTTTATATGTTCGTTAACATGTAAACCGGTAATATGGAATCCAGATGTTGGTGCTCCCTCTAGGATTCGTTGTATCCTTTGTATTTTGTCAGTATAGTTAGATAAATAAATAAATGTAATTTATGTATATTTAAGAAAATGCTGAGTGAATGTATAAACAATGATATTAAGACAGAGCCTTTGCTGGTCTACCATTGACAAGTACCTGTCTATAATCCTCAAACTGGCCGTGAAATGTGCCTAGACATGTCTTGAAGTCACCGGGATGGATGATGGAGTAGTTTCCACTCCAGTATTTACAAGCTAGCCAGTAAAAGTGGGCCGCTAAGGACGGTCCAAACTTGACGTTACAGGAGTACTGGTCGAGGAAATACTTGATGATAGGGGCGGTGTTCATAAGGCAGTGAAGACCAGCGTTCATGAAACAGGTGTTACCTAAGTTGTAGATACCACACTGCCCTGGTTTAGCTGCCGGATCTGAAACATATCATTTATACAACAATTATTTTTTTTTTTTACTGAAGTCTGGTTTGTCTTTGTCATCATGAGAATGTTTCTACATTTTTAACATCTTAGATATTGTCATGTATCTGATATTTGGTAAAAAAAAAATCAGCATTTGTTTATCAGAAATGTTATTTCTGTCAATTTTGACATATCTGCTACCCTGTACACAGGCCTGTAAGGCCAAGCTGTTTGTTTTCCATTGATTTAAACTTACATATATGTTAAGTATATCTGTCTGTCCGTTAATAATAAGTTGTAATCCTACCTTAATGATTTGTAATTTTTTATTTCATTTTTGATTCTTGTGAATTTTGATATGCATATCTTTGTCTACTCATTATCTAAAATAGAAGCTTTTAAATAACTTTAAAGTCTTTTATTTATCATTATCATTGACGTTCTTGTTATCACGACCTCACAATGCACAAAAAAACCAGTATGTATATTGTATGAAATATATTGAAGAATACACTCCTTCACGCTCCAATGACCACAGATCTTGGAGCTTACATACTCTACCTAACTGGTCTTTGCTATAGTTGCCAACCGATAGGGTCATACTGTTGTTTCCTGTGGGAAAAGAATAAAATCAATATTACTTACTGTTACATAATCAGTTAGAACATTTACAGGTATTTCTTTATAAAAATAAATATAACTAAAAAAAATCTTAACTGGTCTGAAGTAAGCCTGTAGGAGTTTCTATCAAACGTAATATTATGTTATTCATAGTTTTTTGTTGACAGACTTAATAGATTACAAGTTCACTTTAATGAGACTGTATATCACAACTACATCTATAAGTGTATCTCCTACGTACTGATTGTTCTGTTAATGTTTGAACTGTGCTGCGAGCTGTTACAGAAAGTATACTAACAGCCACTGCCCTCAGTAAAAGATTGTTGCTAACAAAAGCAGCCTAACATTCTTCAAATTTGAACCAGCTACTTCTCAACATATATAAAGGTTAACATATTACACTATGTGAAAATAATTAACCAGGTATGTGGTTTTTTTAATAATTCAACCACCTGTTTTCAAACTATGTGAGAACACTAATGGTTACCAATACATTGGGGAGTGTTATGTTCCTGCTGGGTAATATAAGACTGGTGTCCTTCTTTGTTAAAAAAAAATAATGAAATTATATCCTCCATTGTTTTTTTCCCCTTATGTCTAGATTTACAGCCAAATGCAGGTTACTTCCCCAAATGCTCCTTTACACTTTAGTGTATTAGAGGATTTATAATTAGTACATTCTTTTGTTAAGTGTATACAACTGTGATTTTTAATTACCAGTATTCGGGCTGATGTCTGTGTCTGAGGTAGCTTGAGTCAGCCCAGCAGTCTCCACAGGAAGTGGATCCGGAGAGGTATCCATGTTTTTTATCTTCGGACAACTAGCTCCAAATTAGTCAACACTTCTTCTGGTTCCAAGATGAAGTATTGTCAGTCTTCAACACAAAGCACAGAAACAATATTAATCTCATCCTTATTCACAAAATAAAAATCAGCAACAGCATTAACTCATTCACC